AGCCAGAAGGGCTGGCTGGGGAATTCTGGGAGTTGAAGTCCACACATCTTCAAGCTGCCAGGTTGAGAAACACTGATCTAAGGAATGTGGTTCTTCAGCTTACACAAAGTTTTTAAGATAGGCTTTTTTTTTACCAGAACCTTCCCAGATACATAAGGTGGCTACCATTTTTAGAACACAGGGATATTTTCCATTTTAAATTGGATTACAGGGCCTTAGCAAATGTGAGTGGCACGGCCCTGGGGATGGAGGCAATCAATCTGTTGGGATCCTGGGCCACAGCCTATTCTTCTGGTACAGCTGCAAGTTTGGAATCTATTCTGAACTCTGGAATTTAGTACAAAAGCTGTCCGGATTCGCCAACATTGTTTAGCTTGAAAGTTGAAAAAGAGAAAACCAGCTTCATCCTTACTAAACTGGGCTAGGCTGGTTAATGTTTTGATAGATCGCCAAATCAGAATGGCATTTTCCAGATTGGAAGTGGTCCAGCTTACTAGATTTCATATCCCTATTCTTAGAAAACTGTTGCGGGGGCTTTAAGGATGACTGTGCAGGCGAGGCTTGGGTTTTAAGTATCCAAGTGTGAATGAAGCATTTCTAGCAAGGGAAACTCACTTGCTATTTAAAGACCCGAGAGAGTTCTTCTTCAAGGCCTCAATGTTCTGTTTTCTTCAAAGGGAATTCTAGATTTTTGAATAAAGAGATAAAGAAATGGAAGAAAAAGGAAACAGTCAATGCACCAAGTTTATTTATTGTTCCCTTAAAAAAATAACACGAGAACATGCAGGAGTGGACAGCAGCAAGTTTAAAGAAAAATGTCTTCTCAAAAACCAACCTGCTTTGGTCTGTTTCTACCTGATCAATCATGTACTGTGTCTTTCAGCTCCCCGATCAAGACTTCAGCTAATTAGATTATCTATATAAATTGGATAAATATAAATTGAATGAAATAAATAAATATATGTTTTTTTTTTAAATCTACCCCTCTTGCCTCTGTTTCCCATTTATGCAGTTCCCTCATATGTCTCTCCATTCCCATCCTCTCAAAAATCAATACAGTGGTACCTGTGATGGAATGGAATTATGAAGGCCAGACTCAGGGAGAAAAACATTTTCTTTCATCTCCTGAGGCGCGAGGGAGAGTCTGGGAAGATTGATGTCAGGCCTAGCCCAAGGAACTCCAAGAGACTATGTAAAT